ACAGCAAATCAAGATCTGAAGTTTCCAACCAAATAAATTCAAATATCATAGTTATTTAGTAATAAACCCTTACAAAGAAGGAAAAAAAAATTCTAAATACGGAGACAAATAACAATAAAAAAGCAAAAAAGACAGATATGTTACAGGGAAAACATATCTGATTTTATTAAAGTAAAAGAAAATTAAAAACAAAAGAAAGTGAAGCGAAAGAGATGAAAAATAGGAGCTAGGAAACTAAAACTAGTGTTAGAAAACCAGAGAAACAAGGGAAAAAGAGAGAACTAAAAAAAGAATTAATCTTTATTGCAATTGTACGTAGGTTCATAATTAGTTCGGCTAATCTTGTTTTTCTTTTTTTAATAGTGATGGAATCAACTTTATTAAAGCCATAGAATAACTCATACATAATAGAATAACTATTGATTAAAGTCATAGAGGGAGAGAAAAGAAAAGCTAACTGAGAGCAACTTATCTCATCGATGATTTGTGCATTTTCCATGGTGGGGGCTTTGTACTCTAGTGGGTTTGTTTTTTACTTTGTGTTTGTTTGATTAAAAGAGGAGATTTCGAAGGCCGCAATAACTTTTTAAATAGATTGTAGCGTTTTGATTAAATATTATTTTTTATAGTGTTTAACAATATAGCTTTGAACTAACTTTTAGATGCATAAGATAGGATTTTATAAAAAATTAGCCCATATAACATTTTTAATTTTTAAAATTTTATCAAAAACTACTCAAACAGCTATCTACGATTTAAACAGCTAATGTTACCAAAACGTTTAGAGTCCATGACATCTTTTCCGGATGGTGGGATTGGTGTTAGAAGTCCATGACATCTTTTCGGGATGTTTTCTAATAAAACGTTACAGTACAATTTTTTTTTCGGAGCTAAATAAATTGTACCTACTTTTCATTTTTCTTGTAGTGAAATTCTTAGATGACATTTTCAGAAAATTTGTATAGTATTAATTATTTCAATTTTATTCTTGTCTGAATATGACCACCAAACTTTGCTTCTCTTTATTACAAAAAGCTAATTAACGATTAATTTAATCAGTTTCTATTACTTCTTTTATCTACAAATATAAGTCATTTTAGAGTAGTCTTTTGTTCATAAATATAAGTCGTTTTGGGAATATTAAAGAATAAGTCATTTTAGAGTAGTCTTTTATTCATAAATATAAGTCGTTTTGGGAATATTAAAGAATAAGTCATTTTAGAGTAGTCTTTTATTCATAAATATAAGTCGTTTTGGGAATATGTGGATCTCATACATTAGATTGCACATTGTCTTCAGATAATTTGGCATTTATAGTTTAATTGATTCTCATATTTAATTCTTGTCCTGAAAATATGACCACCAATACTTATGGCTTCTTCTTATTACAATAAAGCTATAATTAACGATAATTTAATGTTAATCTGTTTTCTATGTGAAGCTTCTTTTATCTACAAATATAAGTCATTTAGCGAAGTATTGTCTTTTGTGTCAGTAAATTATTAAGTTCGTCTTTTGCGGAATAGTGTTAAAGAATAAGTCATTTTAGAGTAGTCTTTTTATTTCTGTTTAAATAGTGGAAGTTGCGTTTTGGGAAATATTAAAAGATATAATTAATGATTTTTTTTAATTTTTAGCGTCGTGCTTTTATTTATGATTAATTTATTATATAACGTAGTTATTTCTTGATTCAGCTTAATTAGATAATTTGGTTTGAAATTCATTGATTAATTGTTCTTCTTGAATAAGTCGTTTTGGGAATATTAAAGAATAATTAATGATTTTTTTTAATTTTAGCCTTATTTATATTAGATATAATAACGAGTTATTCTTGATTTTCAGATATAAGATAATTTAGTTAAATCATTATTAATTGTTTCCTTGATTCCTGTGAAAAAAAATTAAACGACTTATATTTTGGCAAGGAGGAAATGTTAAACACATTAATTATTAATGATGTGAGATAATACGAAATTTAATCAACTTAATGAACTTTATATTATCATTTAAGAAAATTAATTATTTTTTAATCACTGTGCAAGAACTTATATTTATAGATGGATATAGTATTATAAAATCGAGCTAGTTTAATAATTTTTTAAATTTCTATAAAAAGTCAAAAGTGTCAAAATTAACAAAGCGGTAGTAATAAGAAATTATTCTAATTGACTAAATTAATTTTTTATCAATTCTTTAAATAATTATTACTCAATGGAGATACCACAAGATGGTAAAATTGAAAAATGAAAAAATGCTTGGTTTTATATTCTAAAATGACAATTAAGGGGGAAAAAAAACCCCTTAAAAGACACTTATAAGAGAATAGAATAGTAGTAAAAAAGAGAAAGACCATTCGATTTCTATTTGATAAAGGAGGGATTGAGTATTGATACTGCAAAATCTAAAGGGTTTTTAGTAATTTCCTTAATCTAATCTCTAACAGTAGACTTGCCATTGACATTGCAAGCAACGCTGTATCAATTATTTAGAAGTTATATAAAGAGCCGACCAAAGAAATTCTGCATTCAGCTTTTTTGAACAGAACTAATAAGCAGCAAAAGTTCAGTTATGGCTAAATTTATTCTTATCCTTGTTTTCTTTCTCCATTGGCAACGTGTTTATGGGGCCGTTAATCCTTATACGGGAAACACGAAAGGCAGCTCTCCAAGTGCAAACTGTGGCCCCTATCAAACTCAGTCTTGTGACGAGTGTAAACTTCTATAAGCAAAATTTTTCAATTTCATTTAACTCTTTTTCTTTTTTTTCAAGAATCAAAACCCAGCTTCCATTCTTGTACATACTCACTAACCATTTCAGTTTTTTTAGTTTGGATTAACTATGTTCCCATTAAAAGGTTTGAATTTCTATTAGAATTAATTATTACTCTACGATGTGCAATCTACAGATTACATTTATGGAAGATCTGGAAATTCCTCCTGCGGCGCAAATCAAACTCTGCCCTGTGACGAATGTAAACTTCTATAAGCGCCTTTTTCAATCCCATTCAGCTTTTTTCTTTTCTTTTCTTTCAAGAATCAATACCCATATATATCCTTACATATTTAAGAGTTTTGTTTGGTTTGATGAAATGCATGAATTGTAAACTCTAAGCGCTTTTTCAATTCGCCGATTTCCGAAAAGCTTTTTTCTTTTCTTTTCTTTCAAAGAATCCCCAATACCGCCATGAAACTGATCATCCTTTTTCAATCCCATTCAGCTTTTTTCTTTTCTTTTCTTTCAAGAATCAATACCCATATATATCCTTACATATTTAAGAGTTTTGTTTGGTTTGATGAAATGCATGATTTTTCTTTTTTTTTTTGAAAAACGTTTGATTTGACAGTGGCTGCTCTTAGAACTGTAATAACCAGTTTTAGGTTGATTCCAACAATGTCCATCTCTGCTTCATACTGTCAAATCAGCAGCAACCTGGAATCTGATGCTGCAATAAGGTGTAATTGTAGTTTCAAGGACGACAAAGGCAGCCTCATTTGCCACATAATTGCAATGTATGTATGTCCATATTCTGATATATATTGTCAACTATATATATTTGGATATTACTATTTGTCAACGTATATGTATAAATATAATATATGGATGACGTAAGTATTTCTTACATTGATATTGAATTTCATGCCTTGCATTGGCAGGAAGAATATGATTGGGCAAACATATATATATATATATATATATTTCTTATTGATATTAAATTCATCCATTGGCAGAAATATGATGGGCAAACAGCTAAGTGGTTCTGTCGATATCGCAATAAGTGGGCTTCAATACCTTCAAATGCTGTAAACTCCCATCTGATTCTATATCCGATTGATATGCATAGCAAAAAAATATGACACTGATTCTCTAATATATATATATTGTGTTTGTTTAAAATTTAGGCGTGTTTCCAACAATCAATTGATTGGATCAATACCTGAAAGCCTGGGAAATTTAACCAATCTAGAGACGCTGTAAGTATAAATCACTCAAATAAAAATGCAGTTTTAAGTGATTTTCTTGCTCTGGCTAGTGGAGGGTGTACAAATAACAAATTGGGAAATTGTTAGCCATGGCAACAAGCTAAATTATTTTTATTAAGTCTTTGAGTTTGGTGGCACTCGGACATTTTTTTATGGGAAATATAGAGGTAGGCATGGCCGGTTCATTGAACTATCAGTCCGGTTCCGATAAACCGACGGTTTTCAGTAATATATGTTTTTTTTTTTTTTTAAAAAAAAGGTTCCAACGTTACATCTTTTTTTTAAAAATATTAATATGAGTTTAAAAAATATTGGTAAATTTTATTTTAAATAAATTTTAAAATGCTCATACTCATATAAGAATAAAATTAATTAATTATATTTTATTTTAAATTAAATTTTTAAAATGTCTCATACTCAGTATAAGAATGAAAGATTACTTCTAAATATTTTACAAAATAAAATAAATAAATTATTACCTTTATTTTGTAATGTTAGGTTAAATTAAATCATAAATTATAAGAAAAAGATTTGAAAAATGTGCTTCAAGAAAGCAATGTAGTTTTAAACTATACGTAAATAACATATTAAATGAGGCGGGTTAAAGTTTAAAATTTTTATTCTCTTTTTTATTTTTTCTTTACCCATTTTGTTTTAAGGTTTGGTAGATTTATTAACTTGTGAAAGTTAAGTGTATTTTTTTAAATAAAAAAAAATCTTAAATAGAGTTAATCATGTGTAGGAAATATGAATAGTTTATCACGAACTTTCAGCAGATAAGCTCATAAAAGGTGGGCGTATAGTTGTTACTATTAATCATTATTTTGAATAATTACAAAAATAATAGGAAAATTTTAAAATATTATTGAGACTTTTAGAGATATATAAAATAGGCTAAGTGATTATCATTTTGAAAATAAAAATAGAAAATTTTCGGTTCGAACCAGACTGGAACCGTCGGTTAACCGCCGGCTCAGATTTAAATTTTAACATTCACATGAACTTTAACCGGCCCTTGAACCGTCGGTTTCGGTTCAAAACTTTGAACCGACAGTTCCATTTCATTTACATTACGGTTCAGTTCCGGTTCACAATGAACCGTGTACATGCCTACATGGAAGAGAGAACCTGCTGGTGGGGTTCAGTTGCTAGTGTCCCAGAGTTTGACAGTAGTGGAGAGTAGGTTGAGCTGAGTGTTGGGGAGGGACTGACTTCTTGAGCTTGAGCTAAGAGACGTGAAAAACAGGGTGAATGAGTGAGGGAGATGGCAGATTCGACCTACAAGTAGTTTCACCTAGTTTCTGTAAAATCTTAAAGGGGAATTAAAATTTTGCGGATAACTTCAAATTTCTTTTGAAAGCCACAGAGGATTGCCTATAGGGTTAGAGCTTGAGGAAAACCCAATCACCCACATCAAATGATCTCTCAGTTCTCTTTGAATCTGCTAACTGCTTCATTATGTTTTGTGCATTCAAAAGAGTCTCTCTCAAACACTGCGACATATGCTGCCTCTCCAATAGAAATCCTCGACACTTGCTGCAGGGGAGAACGCAGGACTGAGTTGAGGCAGTAGTGGAGGATCAAACCCATAGAGGACTTTGAAAGGGGACATCTTAAGTGCAAAGTGGTGGAAGGTGTTGTACACCATTCAGCAAGGCCAAGCCAAGAACACCAAGTAGAGGGCTTTTTAAAGAACACATGCACCTCAAGTAGGTCTCTAGGCACCTATTGAGCCTTTCGGTCTGCCCATTTGTATGTGGATGGTAGGCAGTTGAATAATTCTTTCCAGAGCAAGCTTGTGGTCCCTGTGAGATACAATGGTCTGAGACATACCATGAAGCTTAAAAACATGATCAAGAATAAAAATAATAATAATAATAATGGGAGTTTCGTGTGTGTGTGTGTGTATATATATATTCTTAAGTTTAACAAGGATAGATTTATACTATATAAAATAAGCTTAGTAATATTTATCGAAAAACTGATAATCAAAGTATTCTTGACGATTAAAATAATATATTAAACTAAATACGTTTTTCTGATTTTATCTAAATGACAGTTATCTATACAACAACCAACTTGATGGTACTATTCCTAGTAGTTTCCAATATTTAAAGTCGCTCAAGTACTTGTAAGTTGCTCTATCTTAAGATCTCTAATTTTATTTGACTGTGTAATTATATATATATTGAATTGAGTTTTGTTTTGTTTGTGCAAAATTAGGGATCTTTCAAACAATTACTTGAATGGTCCAATGACTAGCTTGGGCAATCTGCAAAATTTGATTGCGCTGTAAGTACTCGCCCAATTGCAAACTTTGAATAACTAGGAACCAAAAAAAAAAAAAAAAAAAAAAAAACGCTGTAAGTACTCGCCCAATTGCAAACAACTTGAAATAACCTTAAGGAACCAAAAAATTAAAAAAAAAAAAAAAAAACTAATTTATGAGAGGCAAAACTAAAATATTCATTTTTTTATAGTTAAGGGATAAGGAATCATTGTATCTTATCTCACTGGGTCAATCAAAAGCAAAGAAGTTTTTATTAAAATGAACTTTTTAAAGTTTGAGTGATTTTGGCTTGGATATTAATTATTAACCTTTGTAACTGCTGGAAAAATCTCTCTTGCAACACAGCAATTATTTTGCCGCTTATCAACTTTCTGAATGCGGCAATACATCCGTTCATTTTCGAGTAGACCTTACTCATCGTGCCTAGTACGTTGTAAGGCCCTTCAAAAAACTCACTAATTGGTTTTTACTGGTATTTTGCATTATAATTTTTTGAATTTTTATACGCATTGTGCGCTTGTGCTAGGAATCTTACAGTAACCAATGTTTATCATTGTTCACTCAATTCCCTGATTCTTTGGGAACCTCTCTCAATTTCCTTATTTGATGAGGCCATTAATTTTAGTTATTTTCATCATCATCATCACCTCATATTTATCTTGACTACCTATTCCTAAAAACATCAGGGCCGTGGATGCACATGAAACTCAATGGTCAACTTACCTCAAGGAATCGAAAGTTGGAAAAATTCTTAAAAGCTTAAAGTTTTATTTAAGTTATTATATGTTTAAATTTTATTGGACCACCAATTTTTGGCAGTATATCATTCAAAAGCATTATCTTCTCGCGATTATAAAATGATAACTTTATTCACCTGTCTCACTCACGGTGAAAGACGAATTTTGCATCCAAAATATTTTTTACCATAATAATTTACTTATTAAGAATGTATTTTATTAGTTCAAAAGATAAATTACTTTTTTCAAAAAAACATATTACACAATTCAAAATAGTCAAAGTTAATGATCCACCATGTCAAAATTACCCAAATAGATAATCTTATAAGATTATTTTGTATGTTACTGGTTAAACTACTGAACTTTTTCATGGTTGCAGCTGGTTGACGTCCAACCATCTTTACTGGGGGCATTTCCGGAAGTTATTCTCAACTTTTTACTGCCACTTTCTAGGGTCTTCGTTTAAGTTTTTCTTTAATTTTTATTCTATTTTTTACAGAAGAGCTCACAGTAAATTAGGGTTTGTTCTGTATTAGATTATCTTATTGATTATTATATTTCAAATATTTAAATAATCAATCATTATAATTTTAAAGCCAAAAGTTAAAGGAAAAAGGCATTCTGCCCACTAATTAAATCTCTTTAGTTTTTAGGTATTTCTCGAGGTCGTCAATTGTAAATTGGTAGGTTCCTACTCAACCAAAAATAAACTAGTTTATAGTTTTGATATCTAAATCTAATCTTGTTAGTGGTTTGATGAATAATTTTTATATTAAATAATTAGAAAGGACTTAAACTACAAAATTAGCTATTCTCTCGTACATATTTATATTTAACTTTATGCTTTTAATTTTTAAAACTGGCCTTTAAAATACGTTCTTCAAAGCATTTTATGTTTACCGGGACCCACTACTCCTACAAATAGCTATTTAAAAAATGTTGTTATCAGCATGGAACAGCCCAAATTTTCGATAAAACTTAATTATAGACACCCCAGAAAAAAAAAAAATAACAAAAACCACTACCACAACCCCAAAACCACCCAAACCACCCACCCGCGAACACCAACACAAACCCTCATCTCTTAACCTCATACAAATATCCTACCACATGGATCAGAGACCTGCAAAAATTGCAAGAAACAAAAAAACAGTTGACAAAGATTTAAGTAGGATAACGAGTTGTTTAGAGTTCTATACCATAATACATTGCAGGCTGGAAAGAACCTTACCCTTATCTGGTAAAGTTAGTATCGAAGACTTATATTTTATTTTAGATCTATTAAATATCCATGGACTTTTTTACGACTTAGAATCTAATTTAAATCTGCACGAGAAACATCCACCGATAGTGTAAGCCATAATGAACCTCATATATAATTATTTCGATCAGGATTCTTCTGCGGAAAATAATTTCTCTTGAATAGAGGCAAACCATAAGTGGTACGCCCATGAGGGACAGACTTTAGTGTCAACACTCATTCCTACGCGATAGTCTGTCAGGAGCCACTGTATAAAGTGTATTCGTCGTCAAGTCAGGACTCCAATAACCGTGTCATTCTCTCAACTAAGCTTCACACCTTTTAGACTATGCTAGCTTAACAATAGCCCTCTAGCGTTTAACATTGTGGCTCTTCTTCTATGCTTTCAGCACGAGTGTATGGCAGTCCTCGGTACCTCCTTCAACGATGGCCACGATCTCATGGTCTTACCTGTTCACCCCAAGAGTACAAATAGCCACAACATTGCACGCTCATGGCAACAGACGGTACAAGTAGTATAATGTCTTCACTGTAAAGGCTAAATTTAATTGCCCGAAGTGGTGCACTTGTAAGCCACTCCTCAGACTGCCACCCAGGCAAGAACATCTAGCTACGACAGTGCTGTGCACGGCCTCTCACTAATTATTAGATACACGACTATTCCGTTCAACACAAGCAATTAACACTATCGTCCATACTCCTCTCGCTCTCTGCTTCGCGGTGCCTGACGTCTGTTAGTAGACGTACTTCTCTGCTCTGTACTGTCGACCACGGATTAGAAGATATACCTTCATCTAGATCCTCTCCAGCACCAGAGACGACTCGTTGACCCATCCGATGGTACAACCAATCGCCAACCCATTACAACACCTCCAACCATCCCACTTCACATGCGCAGAGTGTAACTGTTCACTTATGGTCGGCTCTGAACATTTCTCCGTTAGTCGCAGGCTCTCTGTCAAATCCGACGATATCTCTGTCCAATGGCAGATACGCGCGCTCTCTAACCCTGCTATACGTGTCCACATCGCGATACTCGAGCACGTGCACACATCACACTCCCTGTCACACTTCTCTTCCTGACCACGTCCGACACACTGGCGATCCGGCCGCATATGCCGCGCGCCTTAGGCACCCGGTTCCTTCGTCGCTATATCAACTGCGGCAAAGACAATTAGAACCTACAAAGACCCCTAAAAAAAAAAAAAAAAAAAAAAACTAATTATGAGAGGCAAAACTAAAATATTCATTTTTTAAGTTTAAGGGATAAGGAATCATGTCATCTTATCTCACTGGGTCAATCAAAAGCAAGAAGTTTTCTATTAAATGAACTTTTAAAGTTTGGAGTGATTTTGGCTTGGGATATCTAATTTATTACCTTGTAACTGCTGAAAATCTCTCTGCAACAGCAATTTGCGCTTCAACTTTCTGAATGGGCAAATACCTCCTTCATTTGGTAACCTCTCATCGCTAGCTACGTTGTAAGGCCCTTCAAAACAACTCACTAATTGGTTTATTACCTGTTTTTGCAATATAATTTTGAATTTTATACGCATTGTGGCTTTGCAGGAATCTTTACAGTAACATGTTATCAGGCTCAATTCCTGATCTTGGGAACCTCTCTCAACTTTCCTTTTTGTATGAGGCCATTTATTTAGTTATTTATCATCATCATCACGCATATGTTATCTTGACTCTATCCTAAAAATATCAGGGCCTTGGATGACAATGAACTCAATGGTTCACTTCCTCAAGGAATCGGAAAGTTGAAAAATCTTAAAAGACTGTAAGTTTTATTTAAGTGTATTTATTTTTTAAATTTTATTGACACAATTTTTGGATATATCATTCAAAAATTATCTTCTGCGATTATAAAATGATAACATTTATTGTGCTCCACTCACGTGAAAGAACAGAATTGCATCCTTAAAATATTTTTACACATAATAATTTACTTAAAGAATATTTATTATTCAAAAGATAAATTATTTTTCAAAAAAACAAACACAATTCAAAATAGTCAAAGTAATTCCACCATGTAAAATTACCCAAATATATAATTTATAAATTATTTGTATTACTGGTAACTACTGAAACTTTTATGGTTGCAGCTGGTTGACGTCCAACCATCTTACTGGGGGCATTCCGGAAAGTTATTCTCAACTTACTGCACTTCTAGTCTTGTAAGTTTTTCTTTATTTTATTTATTTTTTACAGAAAGACTCACATAAATAGTTTGTTTGTATTTGATTATTTTATTTATTATTTATTTAAAAATAAATAACAATCATTTAATTTTAAAGCCAAAGTTAAAAAGAAAAAGGCATTCTGCCACTAATTAAATCTCTTATTTTTAAGGTATTTCTCGGTGTCAATTGTAAATTGTAGGGTCTACTCAACCAAAATTAACTGTTTTAATAGTTGTTAGCTGTTTGAGGTATTTTTTTTATAAAATATTAAAAGTTAAACATTACATAGGTCAATTTTATATAAAACATTATTTTAATTTTTAAAAGCTAATTCAAATTTTATGTTACCGAACACTATAAAAATAGCTATTTAAAAAACTGTTGCCGAACACAACCATATTTTAACTTCCGATACTCTGGTTGGATGCAATGCAGTGCAGTAGCTGGAAACGATTTGTCTGGTTCTATACCCAAATACATTGCAAGCTGGAAGAACCTTACTTATCTGTAAGTATATTCAAGACTATATATTTTTATTAGGATCTATTTAAATATATGGATTTTTTACGACTTTATAATTGAATTTAAAATCTGGATATATATTCATTTGAACCATATTATTAATTTATCAGGATTCTTCTGGGAAATAATTTTGAAGGAAACATACCAGAGGAGATTTTTAACCTTCCGAGTCTTCAGACATTGTATGTGCAGTCAGACAATACCTACTAACTTCATTTTAAGCTCTAAAAGCTTTTTAACATGTGCTTCTCTTGTTTCAGGTGGGTTAGTGGCCTAAGGAATCCTGGTTTTACTTTCCCCAAGAAAGCAAACTTGGAGAATATATATTCTTTGTAAGTATTTAATGCGATTCAATTTTAGCTCCACGGCAAAATTAGGGATGGCACGCTCCCTAATTTTAAAATTTTTCAAAAATTATCTATGTAAGTTCCTCCATTTCTTCTACCATGTATGCAGGATACTGAGGAATTGCTCAATCAACGGATCAATACCTCCATATATTGCTAATTGGTCTGAATTGACGTTTCTGTGAGTATTATTGTAATTAATGAAAGCTCATTTTGAACCCACTCCACTGAATAATAAACATTTCTTAATGCGGTTTTTAGAAAAAAAAAACAAGTTTAAAGTTTACAATTAAAGGTTTTATGAAGAAGATTCTAATTAGGGTTTGTTCGGCGAAATTAGCTGTTTTAGTATGCGTTAATTATTTGAGTACCTTGTCGTAAAACACGAAAAATTAACCGTTACATGAGTTAACTTTTTATAGAATATTACCTTAACCTTTAAAAGCTATTTCAAACAATATGTTACCCAACACTATAAAAAAATAGCATTTACTATTTAAAATATTATTATCAAACACAACCTTAATTTACACGTGAGTAAATGATTTTTGAAAACGATGATTTCTATTTCTTATATTCAAAAGAAAAGTGTCTATACCATTTTAAAAACTTAGATGACCGATGCTAATGTTATTTAATGTTTTATATTTCCTTCCTGCAGCGATTTGAGTTTCAACAACTTAATTGGTGAAATTCCTCAATTTGGTCCAAATTTAAAAAAGATGTATGTGACGGCCTTTCTCTGGAAACTGTTGTTTATAATCAAGTAAATGATTTTATATTTTCTTTTGATGCTCAATGGTGAAAAGTTGTAAGTACTCCATATGGGATTATATATTTGTTCGATCTAAAATTAGGGTAGGACCTATTGAATTTATGTCCATCAAGTAAATAATTAGTTGTTAGTTCAAAAACAAAATAGAGAGATAAATAGGAGAAAAAAAAAAAAGATCTAGACGAGAAGAATATAAAATAAATTAGAGAAATCAGGTGTTAAAAAAGAAAGAGGAAAGGGAAAAGAGAGGGAGAAGGAGAGATATAAAGTAAATGGTAGCGCATTCAGAATTGCACATATTAGATTTTGAGGGATGCGTTCCTGTTTTAGAATATCTATAGTTCTGTCACCTACATAACCTTTTATGATTCATATAATATCCACAATAATAGAATATTTACAAGTGTGGGCTTTTAGGCCCAAATAGCCCTATAGATATATTCTGCATTTTCTACTTGGACTTTACCATTTGGGCCTTCACATCAACCGGCCTAAACAGGTCTATATATATTGGACCGTTAAAATATGTTTGACGGATTCAACGTTTTTTTTTTTTTAAAGATTTTTAGCAAGCAATAAGCTTAATGGGACGTTTCCTTCATGGATCACTCATGCGAAGTCGGGACTCTCACAGCTTTATGACCCACTAAAAATGTAAGTATATAGATAAAACAAAAATTTTGAATTTTTATTAAATTTAGCCTAATTATCGACCGCATGTTTTACATTTCTTATAACTTCAATTCTCATATTTTTTATTAATTATTATTTAGATATATTTGACAAAATTAGTTGTTTTCGTAGTATTTAGTTGATTTGGTAGTTGTTGGTTGTTCGTTTTAAGCCCTGTTGGGCAATACTAATTGTTCTAATATAGTGGTTAACTGTTTTAATAGTTATTAATTATTTTAGTAGCTGTTAGCCAGTAAATGTTAACGTCTAGCTATTTAAATAGTGATTAAAAGTGAAAGTGTTCGATAAAAACAGCTGTTTGATTGACAATAAATTTAAAATGACAAAAAAGGACATTGAAATATTCACCTAGAATTTTTAATTAAATTCATTATAAAAAAATGAATTCACTATACCTAAATTTCAAAATTTAAGAAAGCAAAAATTGAAAAATACACTATTTTATAAATAAAATGGAAAATTTTTAATATTTTACGGATCAACAATTTTTATTTTTAATATTTGTTTGATTTAAATATAAATATATAAATAGTTGTTTTTTTTCTTTTACTATCAAATAGAAATAAGCCAAACATAAAGACAATAAAATATATAACGTGATAACAGAAGGATTTTATATTAATTAAGAATAATAATGAGGTTGTAAAAAAAATACGTTTTAGACTCCATAAACCTTTGAAAGTTGCTCTATATATTAAGTTACAAACACAAAAATTTAGAGAAATAGTGTTTTGACTAGTTTAAAACACTAAATGTTACTCTAAAAACTACTGTCAAATATGTCCTTAGCAGCGTCCTAATAGCCTTTAGTTGGTAGCTTTTGAGTAACTTTTTAAAAAAATGTTAAAAGTTAGATATTACATGGGTTAACTTTTATACGATAGCTTAATCTCTAAAAGTCAGTTCAAATATTATGTTACTGAACACTATACAAAAAAGTATTTAACATTTTAAGTGATCAAAATACTAAAAAGCTACTTTAAAATCGGTTGCCGAACACAGCCTTAGCCTTTCATTTAACTATGAAAATGATTACCATGGATTAGGTCATGGATTCAATCTTCCGCAACATAAATTCCCTCCGGGCCCCCCTTTACCTTCAAAGGTCAGTGAAAATTAATAGGATTTACGGTGAACCGTTAAAACGGATAGGGATTTAGGCACCTCTTGCAAGTATATAAAAACTATAAAAACTACATAGTTCAACGGTATTAAACCTCAGAATTCAGATACGTACTAATAACTCCACATTGTGGCCTTACAGCGATCTTTCACTCAACAATTTCACAAATGTGCCGGATGTGAACCGGGAAAACGGAACACTTTCACATTTGCCGAATACAATTATTATGTAAGTGGTTTTATTTAAAACATATTTTTCTCACTATTTGTTGTTTTGAACACTATAAATTGTTCCAATTCTCACCTTGCTCTTTTTTTGCTTACTGATTGCATATTGTTGGTGGACATTCAGTGAGCCGATTAATAGGAATTTCGGTGAAACCGTTAAAACGGATTAGAGATTTAGGGCACCTCTTGGCAAGTATATACAAACTATAAAAACATACATTAGTTCACCACGCGGTTATTAAACCTCAGAATCTCAGAATACGTACTAATGAACTCCAGCATTGTGGCCGTATAACAGCGATCTTTCACTCAACAATTTCACCAAATTGTGCCGGATTGTGAAACCGGGGAAAACCCGGAACACTTTCAATTTGCCGAATCTTACAGATTTACTTATGTAAGTGGTTTTCATTTAAACATATTTTTCACCTATTTGTTGTTGAACACTCATAATTGTTTCCAATTTCTCACTAGCTCTTTGTAAGTGGTTTTATTTAAAACATATTTTTCTCACTATTTGTTGTTTTGAACACTATAAATTGTTCCAATTCTCACCTTGCTCTTTTTTTGCTTACTGATTGCATATTGTTGGTGGACATTCAGTGAGCCGAGCAGGTATACTTTACATCTTTAATCTCACACACATACACACACAGAAGAATCTTCAATTATATATATTACTAATCACAAAATTATCTGACTTGCAGTGACTACATATCTCGAAAAGGAAGAGAATGTCCGGCGAAGTGTATGTTTACTTTCCATAAGCTATGAAGTTTAGTTTTTTTTATTAAGTTAGATTTGTTTAAACCGGATCTATGACATCATCTATAACATTTTTTATTAGTATCAAATCAATAAAAATAAGGATTTTTTAAAAAAAAATTCATTTTTTCTTTCTTTTTTCCAAGTCGATTGGTTAAGAAGACTACGATCGTTTCAACAAAAAATTAATTTTCATTGGTTTCATAAATGAGCAGATCCATAAGGTTTTGGCAACTCAATCCCCTTTTTCTTAGAATTAGCACTCACATATGCATATCTTTATAATAATAATAATAATAATAATAATAATAATAATAAAATTCTTTGTGACCCAAATTAAAAAAAAAGCTTAATATAAAAATTCATACTTGCACGTCTCAAAAAAAAAAAAGAAAAAAAAAAACACCTTGTGGTTCTTTTTGATTCAATATATAGAATTACATGTATTAAACACTATAATTGACTATTAAATATCTCAATTTATAAAATTATATCAATTAAATATTTATTTGATAGTTGAAAAATATAAAAATTATTATTTCAAAAGTTGGACTAACCTCATATCAAATTAACATTTTACACATAAAAATTGAAAATTTTAAAATTTGTTGTTGCTAGCGTGACAAAACGTGAGATTACAGCAAAAAATAAAGTTCTGAATGTCACAAGTTCGATTTCAACTAAGTACTATAATTTTTTTTTTTCATGTTTGGACATAGAAAAACTCACTAATTAATAATGTTATTGCAGATCACTCCTTGTCAATAAACTGTGGTGGCGAGGCGGTGAAGTTTGACAAGCAAAACTATGAAAATGATACTGCATTCTCATATTTTTACGAAAGTCCGCAAGCAAATTGGGCTTATAGCTTTTCAGGAGACTATATCTCACCAACCATCAATGCAAGTGGTTACATAAAGAACTTAACGTGTGGAGTTTCTGTTCCTGAGGCACAGTTATATGTCAATGCCCGAGTTGCTCCTGTCTCTCTCACCTATTTTGCCTTCTGCTTGCCCAAAGGAAAATACGAGGTCAAACTTTATTTTGCTGAAACTTTATTTTCTAAAAAGGAAGATCACAGTATTGTGGGGAAACGTCTTTTTGATGTACATATTCAGGTAGTTTTATAGCAAAAGATTAAGATTATTCATTTCCTTAAATGAACTATATCATGCAGTGATTAAAGTATTGATTTTGATTACAGGAAAAGCCTGTATTACAGGATTTCAACATAAAGAAAGAAGCAGAAGATGCCAATAAAAATATTATGAAAAGTTTCATAGCTACTGTACTTGACCATAAACCGTTGCGAATAGACTTCTTTTGGGTTGGTAAGGGATCTCTATATAACCCGCCTGGTCAAAATGGACCTCTCATTTCAGCTATTTCCATAACTCGTGGTATAGTGTTGAACTTTTTTCATGCTTATGTTTGACCTCACATGTATTTTTTTCACTTCATAACTTCTAATGCATTTTGGGTTTTGAAGCTCCAAGAAAATTATCAGCTTGGGAAATAACTGCAATCGCAGTAGCTTGTGTTATTGCTCTATTCATTTTATTAGCTTTCTTGTGGAGAATGGGATGGATAGGAGACAGAGAGTTGCATAGTAAGAACATATATTCCTCAATAAGATTCATGTTTCTGTGGTCCATATATATTAATGGCTTTGCTTCTAAATAATTGTTTTTAATTAATTCAACTTGTTTTATTTGATGTTTGCAATTGAAAAATAGAAACATGCATAAAGATTGGAACCCAGTCTTACACTGTTAAACAGATAATTCATGCAACTCAAAAGTTCAGCCCAAAAACGAAGATTGGAGATGGCCGTCTTGGGATAGTCTACGAGGTCTAGCTCTGTCTTTATATATATATATATATATATCTCTAGAATAATGTTATCTAATAATTAATTCAACTTGTTTATATTGGATGTGCACATTGAAAAATAGAAACAAGGCAAAAAGATAGGGAAAACCCCGACTACACTGAATAACAGATTAATGTCATGGCAACTCAAAAGCTTTACAGTGGCCCAAAAACGGAAAGTATTTGCACGAATGCGCGCAGGTGGATGATGTCTACGAGGTTAGTCTCTGTTATACTATATATAAAGTATGTCTATATATATATATATATATTGGCATTAAGGAGTTGCTGATCATTTTCTTTTAATATTTTATTCCCTCCATTATAGGCTCAATTGCAGCCAGATTTGACTGTAGCAGTGAAGAAGCTTTTTCCTCAATCAAAGACAGCTTCAGAAACAAGAGCAGAGATCTTTGCATTGTCTGAGTTGGAAAATCAGAATCTTGTTAAACTGCTGGGTTGTTATTCAAATAGAGGCCTTCAGTTGCTAATATATGAGTACATGGATAATGGTTCCCTTGAGAAAGTCTTATTTGGTAATTTTCTTTTATTCCAGGAGCTCAATACTTTCACAAATTCAATTTTATTGTTCGAAAGTTTAATTAGATTTGCATGTAGATCCTGATCGTCCACTGCAACTTAGTTGGGAAACTAGATACAGTATTTGTGAACGAGTAGCCCTGGGTTTGGAGTTTCTACATAAAAAAGAGCCACCTATAATCCACAGAAATATCAAGGCTAGTAATATTCTGCTTAATGAAAATTGTGAGGCTAAAATCTCAGATTTTGGATTGGCAAAGCTTTATGAGGATGATGATCCATTTATATTAGCCAAAGCAGGCATCACACGGTAAGTAGCAGGCATACACACGTAGTTTAATTTTCAACCATATAAAAATTTCTTTTACTTTTCATAAAATTGATTTAGGAGCTTATTTTTCCTCTATTGTTGCTCTAGCCAGTAAATACTGGCACCTGGTATCGCTATGGGTCAAGAAATTTTACTAATAACAGTGAGGTCGATGTGTATATGTTTTGGTATTACATTGCTTCTTGAAATCGGTTAGTGGACAAGGGATGATAAAATCTCCCGAAGACGATGAGGATACTTATTTATCATCTTAGAAAAGGTTAATGCAATGCTTCTTCTTTTTATGCATGCTTCTTCTTTTTATTAATCATCAATCTATTTCTAATTTTTTTGGGTAATGTTTTGTTTTTATGCTCCAAAACATCAAGTCTTTTATACCTAATTGTGAGATAAACTGAAAAACAACAGTAAGACTACCACTTTTAAGTAAATTTATGTTTGAATCCCTAACTGAGATAACGCATCTGCAGGCTGAGAAATGTCGGAAGCGTCATAATTATGAAGAACTAATCGATAAAACACTGAAAGAACATCCATCAGGCAAAGTATCATCAGAAACACTGCGCCAAGCCATCACCATCATTGACTTGGCAATATTATGTACAGAGCATTGGCCTTCTAATAGGCCTCAAATATCAGATGTGGTAAGTGTTCTTCAGGGTAAAAAAACCGTTGAGGATATTAGGACATTATACTTGAAACTAAGGCTTCCCAAGTCAGTTAAAACAGAGATGGATCCCTTCCGAAGGTAATTTAACATTTGTGATTTACTTTAGAGTTTTCTTATATAAACACTCTTTTGTACACTATTATGGTGTTGTTTATGTATTTTCCAGTGTTCCTTTTTTGTTTTGTATTTTGTACTGTGAAGTGTAATGCTTTGTTTTGTCAAAGGGATTGGCCTTTTTGTTTTTGCTAATTGCAATGAAGGATTGCTTACTTTTACGAGGCTTCTCCTTGCAGCAAACAATACAAAAAAAAAAAAAAAAAAAAACCAAAACAAAGCTGTTTTTCAGCGAACTGAGCAACTTGCGTTCTTAATTCCTCTTCTTTTTCCTTTTTCCTGGGCACTTAAACACCGGATCATACAGACCTCGAACGCCGCCCACAACCCAACCTTCCAGAACCAACCTCTACTATTCGCTACACACCATCACACCGCACCACACTTCTGTGGACCCTTTTGCTTCCAAAAAAAAAAAAAAAAAAGTGTTTTAGCGACTGATAACTTGGTTCTTAATTCTTTTTTTTTTTCTGTCACTAAAACGGATATAAGGACTGAACAGCGACCAACCAAATCAGCAACAAAATTATAATTGCTAACACAATAACGACCAACTGTGACTTTTGTTACTAATTAGCAACCGAGTCATATCAACTCGGTCGCTGAATCACTTTTTGCCATCAAAGAAATGATCATCACTGTTCTGTCATTAAATCTCGGCATCACTATTTCATTGCTAAATCGTGTTGCTAAGCTATAGTTCATCTGTTGCTGTATTTCATTTATAATGTCCTACTTTCCATCACTAATCAGTCGCTAAGCGGTTGCCTAGGCTGTCGCAAATCAGTCGCTATTTTTTGTCCCCAATCACATTGCAAATGGTTGTGATCTGTTGCTATTCTGTCACCAATCGATCGTTATTTATTTTTGGAAATAAAAAAATTAAATTTAAATTTTGTACACCAAGAATTTTTCACCTATAAAAAAGGGCAATATATACCATGTGACACAAACAAATGCAGCAATGAAAGAAATACTAAATTATGAAAAATAAAGTATTATTAATGTGCGAAGAAAACCATACAAATTATACTATAATATATACAAAATAATTATGATAATGAAAAGGAAGCCTGAGGGGTCAGATTTGCAAGATCTCTAATGGGGCTCTAAGAAGTAGGCGGAATGGAAGAAGCGAGGGGATCAGAGTGACCTATCGGTGCAGAGGGAGCTGGCAGTGCAGTAGGTTGGTCTCGGGCATACATATCCATCAACTGTTGCTGCTGCAATATTAGCTGTGACATTTGTTACTGCGCCTGAATCTGAGCCCGTAAATCCTGAATCTCCTGGCTACGTGCCTCCGGCTCAGCTGGTGTGGCTCTACTTGCTGAAGCCCCATGTGTGAGACAATAAAAAATATCAGAATACGAACAAATACCATACACTTTTCTCTTTTTTTCGCCTCCTACAGCCTCGAGATCAAGCTGCAACTCATCGATCGTAAGCTGCTGACCAATCTAAGCTTGAGATGTAGTGGCTCACTCCTTCCCAGTAGTATAGTTATCCGAAAAAATATAGAATACAGTAGGATAAGAACAACACAAAAATATTGAAATTTAGATAGAAAAATAAAAAAGTAAAGAAAATGTTGTTTGTCAGTTACCGTCTTTTCACGATCTTCAACTTCGATCTAGCATCTCCCTTAACTATAGAAAATGAGCATTAGTAGAAATGTCAATGTTAATATACTAATGTATAAAAATACAAAATAACAATAATAGTGAATTGTATATTATCGGGTGGAGGGGTTGCTAATGATGATGGTGTTGCAGTGGCTGGTGCAGATGGTGCTGCAAAATCAGAAGTATGTGCCTAAGTAGAAGGAGGATGGAGGCAAGGGGGGTTGCGTGACTGTATGAGTGTCAAGTGCTCTAGTACGACCACCTCGTCCTCGAATACCTCGACATCATCCCCCTTGTGGAGAGTCCTTGATCCCCCTGCTTGTATCAATCTGAAAGCTATTGGTATTAGCATTTGCATAAAAACATGATTGTCATGACTTTTCATCCCAAATAATCTATATTTCTACATGTCAACACATCGACCCATTTTGATGCATATCCATCTGAAAACTGCAACCCACGGACCCATTCACACAATATTTGCTTTTGCGTATTGTCTAGAGTGAAATAAGCATTTGGAAATCGTCTCGTCTCTGCTATCGGTTCTATCTCAGGATGACGCCAAATTTCTTTCATATCTGCTCTAGCTTTATCTCAGGATGACGCAATTTCTTTCATATCTGCTCTAGCTTTGGCATTATCCTTTGTTTTCCCACTCAATATTCTCACAGTGGTTTTAAAGATATTTCCAAATACATATATTTTCTATGTGCATGATATCAAGGTTACGTTGGCTAAGTATGTACTCCTCAAGGTTACGTTGGATAAGTAATGTACTCCAGCACGGCAAATTCCAAAATATACTTCATTTTTTCCATCCATTGCTCCGACCAATTCTACTGTTTACTTCTTTATGTCCCAAATCAGTCACTTTCATAAGCCCCAACTCTTCAATTTCTAACAAAACTTTTGTGCCTAACTTTTTAGGTGGAGGGAGTCATAAACAACCTTACTCTTCGAAAATACTGTCGATTTCGCCTCCATGCATGGTCAAATTCAGAGAAATTTTCAGTGATTATCAAACCAACACTGCTTTCCACCATTTTTCAAAGTAAAAGCTTCTGTATTTTCCATGCAATATGGACAAGCGATTCAAACTGTAGTGCTCCACCCAGATAACATTGAAAGTGAGGGAAAGTCACTAATCATTCATAGCAAAACAACTTGGAGCATAAATAGGGTCACTAATCACTATACATCGGGTCGTTGGTCCCGACACAATAACACAAAAGAACATATACTCTTCTTTTACACACATGGATGGGGTCAATTATATGGTGTCACAATTACAACCCATGAAAAATATTATTTGTAACAGCCCAGCCCTTGTGTAATATTGTCCGCTTTGGGGCGTTACGTATCACCGTCCCCCTCACGGTTTTGTTCTCAGGCAGGCTTTGCAACCCGCCCAAAAGGCCTGACACAAGTTCAAGACTGCCACCCTTTATGTATAGTACTTCCACCTTGTGCTTAGCCGATGTGGGATTTGCCTAAGGTGTCACATACACCCCCCCTTAGGGACTCAAGGGGACTCAGCGTCCTCACTGAGTTTGCCCACCAGCCGGCAGATGGACAGGACAAAACCTGGCTCTGATACCAAATTGTAACAGCCCAGCCCTTGTGTAATATTGTCCGCTTTGGGGCGTTACGTATCGCCGTCCCCCTCATGGTTTTGTTCTCAGGCTTTGCAACCAGCCCAAAAGGCCTCACACAAGTTCAAGACTGCCAACCTTTATGTATAGTACTTCCACCTCCTGCTTAGCCGATGTGGGATTTGCCTAAGGTGTTACATATTGTAACAGCCCAGCCCTTGTGTAATATTGTCCGCTTTGGGGCATTAAGTATTGCCGTCCCCCTCACTGTTTTGTTCTCGGGCAGGCTTTGCAACCCGCCCAAAAGGCCTGCCCAAGGCCTTCAACAAGCCCAAAAGGCCTCACACAAGTTCAAGACTGCCACCCTTTATGTATAGTACTTCCACCTTGTGCTTAGCCGATGTGGGATTTGCCTAAGGTGTCACATTATTGGCCTGACTATCCAAATGGTTGAAAACCATCCGTGCACAGTCCTAGTCTGACATTTCTAATCTCAGCAGCAAATGATGGATGCTAATCATAGTGTTTCCACGCTTCAGAATCTGACGAATGATGCATAACATCAACTTCACATTCATGTTCCGCATGCCATCGCATCTGTTCAGTTGTAGCATGAGAGACATATAGCCTTTAAAGTCGTGGAGTCAACGAAAAGTAATATATTTTCTTGAATGTTTTCTCTTTCTGTTGTCTCCCAGTTCCTTGACATCACCTTCTATATCTAAGAAAGTTGCAAAACTTGCTCATCCTTGATTCACTGTCATTACCCTAAAATATCATACAGTTATGGCAACAATATATCTTCTCAACTGGCAAGCCTAAGCCCTAAACTAGCTTCTTCATTTAGTAAAAGTTATCAACCATGGAATTATCACCGGGCATCACTTCTTTCATTAATTGCATAAAATCATCATAACACCTTTCAAAAATGTGGTGCTTTGATTTATTGTGCAACATTCGCGATACTACAGAAAGCAAAGAATGTCTCTGACAATATTGCCAAACTTTATGATTGGTGGCACTTAGCATATCATACAACTTTTGCACAGATTTGTTTGGTCACTCTTCCATATTCTCCCAATGGAAATCATGACCAGTCACATCTTTGACCATATCTTACAATCGAAATATTGGATCTGAATGCAAATCTACGCCCTGACTCTATGATGCACTGGATTTTCAACTCAAATTATTGTCAATCTAGGTTTCACCATTGTATACCCACTAATAATAGTTTTCTACAAACTCATTTTTGCATAAATGGAGCTTCACTATTTCAACATCATAAAAAGCCTTATTGTTGCACTTTTTAAGATTGCATGGACACCTTATTTTCTTTTTAAGATTGCATGGACACCTTATTTTCCCTCCATCCATACATCATGGATTACTGATTGCAAACTGCATAAAGGACTTCAGACACTCCACGAAATCTCTCCTTAATAAACCATTCAACTCGTACCTTTGGTACATCCACATACGATCAACAGGCATTTTGTCCTGTTTAGTTATCAGAAGCTAATTTATTATTTTATTACGATGACAGAAGTGTATTATGAGTCATAAACATATGGATGGGAACTTAGCACATTCAAAAATGCAATATAAGTACATAGTACAGACAGATACAATAGCTTTCATAAGCATCTAATGAAATTTCAACAGCATCTTCCCCATTTTTCCAAGTCCGCAAAGTGAAATATAACCATTTCATTGTGAATGCGGAGAACATAAAAATGAGAGATACTACTGAAATCCAATAGATAATTAAATAACTATTCTATGTGTTCGTACATTTTGTACTTAAAAGACATTTCTAAATTGTCCAACTTTGACAATTCAATGCCTTCTCTTCCATCCGGATTGAGAAAGACATCAAATGTGCAACTAAGATACTTGTTTTTATGTTAATTA